AAAATTTGCTGACCACTTATACTCGGTCTTATACTGTAAAATAGTTACCTAACGGAATATTCAATTCAATAAAAATCAGAAGTGCTCAATAGCAAAGCAGGTAAGCATCCTTTTAAGCCACAAGCTCAATAACTCAAATTTATCCTCATTACCTTGAATATTATTTAGCACCAAGTAGATTTTTCTCTTTTCTTCCCCCCCAACACGAATCCCTTCAGTGTGATTGCCAAAAGTATATAGCACTATAGAAAACTTAAGCTTAGAAGACCTCAACCAGAAAATCCAGAAGTTTTTTCATCATCTGCAGCATTATTAAATTTCACTAAAATTTCTTGAGATAGAGTCCTCAGGTTTCAGGCCAACTGATTAGCCAGCCTTTGCAAAAGGTGGAAATGTTGGGGTGCTGATTAAGGACCCATCATTATAAAGGGTAGCAGATGAAACCACGCAGAGCTCTGAGTATGCACAATCTTGAAAGACAATCTGTTCATTGCTTCTTTGGTAGCCTAGAAATTCCCGAGACTGTGTGTATTTCTTTTACAAAAGATAGGGCATTCCTGTCAGCTAGACAACCTAAAAATGTGTAGGAAAAAATAGGGAGAAATTAAAGGCTCTTTGCATGTATCCTACTCTTTACCTCAAATATTTGAGTTGTTATTTTTAAAAGGTGCTAATAAAAAAATGAGCAGAGCAAGCTTGAGAGACTTCATGGAGATTTAAAATGACTTCTAAGGCACAGATATTCAAAGTAGGGGTTTAAAAAACAAAAACAGAACCACCAAATGTTAGAACTAAAAGCAGGAGGTTTAATTTAGGACTCTTTTACCTGTGCTTAACTTACAAAATTTCCACGAGAAAAATGATCCTGAAAGCTAGCAAAAATGAGCTCTATCTTATTCGTGATAATTTAGTGCTGAAAATCGCTACTTTCTCGGCAGATGAATAGCTGGAAGAGCCAAAAATCAGATCCAAATTCAGTCACATGGGTGGGAGTCTGAGACCGCTGCCTTAAGATTTCCAGGAGAATCTGGCAATTATTGTGGCACATTTTGAAAAATTTGGGGTTCCATAATAATGTACTACAGAGGCCGGGCCGGGGAGGTCACAAGACTTTAAACAATGGCTAAACGTGCAAGAGAAAAAAATCAATAAAATGTCTTAAAAAGTAAAAAAATAGCCTTGAATCAATAATTTTAAATACCATGGAGAGTTCCCAGAGGAAAACGGCAGCAGTGTTAACGAGATGCTATCAAATTGGGGATTGTGTTAAACAGTGACCTTGTTAGCTTGAAATCACTTCCAAGTCTGTACATACTAGCTACGTCATAGCTTTTTGAATGGTAAAATCCTGGTCGGCGAAAGGTCCTGTAGCTTCCAGAGTTGATTTATTTTTGTTCTTTTTTAAAATTTATTTTCCAATTACAGGTGACACCCAATATTAGTTTCAGGTGTTCAAATTAGTAATTAGGCATTTATATAATTTATGAACTCATCACTCTAATATGTCTAATACCCAGCTGACACCATACATGGTTATTACAATGTTATTGACAATATTCCCTATGCTATACTTCACACCACTGTAACTATTTTAGTAACTGGGAAATTTTACTTCTTTCCAAGTACCGTTAACATTTAATACTACTTTATGTTAGTTTCAGGTGTACACCGTAGCAGTTAGACATTGGATAAAAAAAGATGTGGTACATATATACAGTGGAGTACTACTCAGTCATCCAAAATAAAATCATACCATTTGCAACAATTTGGATGGATCTAGAGGGCATTATGCTAAGGGCAATAAGGCAGAGAGAGAAAGACAAATGCCACCTGATTTCACGTACAGGTGGCACCTAAAGAACAAAATAAATGAGCAAACAAAACAGCAACAGTCTCAGTGATACGGAGAACAGAGTGAAGGTTCCCAGATGGGAGGGGCATTAGGGAGCTGGGTGAATACGGTCGAGGGATTAAGAAGCACAAATTGATAGTTACAAAACAGTCCCCAGGATGTAAAAGACAACCTAGGGAACACAGTCGATAATACTGTAATAACTACGTACGGTGTCAGATGGGTCCTGGAAACATCAGGGGGATCTCTTTGTAAGTTATACAAACATCTCACCAGAGTGGGTTCATTTTAAATTAGTGAACAGCTTGGGTGCTGAAATAATCAGCCTCTCAGAGGCTGGATATTGAAATAATTAGCATCTCAGCCCCATTACAAAAGGGAAAAGTGAGACATCAGAGAATCTGCATAATTTGAAAATGTCATGAAAGAGAATTAGATCCTAAATCTTCAATTTCTGACTGTCTGCACTTCTTACCATTCATATTGTCCATTTACTTTTAAAATGCACATTGAAAAAGAAATGAGCATTTAAAAAATAAAAATGACCTAAAAGGAACTAATCATAGAATGCCTACTAGTATTTAATAATACCATTATTTGTATAGTAGTTTATACAACTTCAAAGTGATAAGCAGATGGACGGATGGATGGATGGGTGGCTGAATGCATAGATGGATGGACGGAATCTAAATTTTTCCTCTAATCATCTCTCTGAGATAAGCACATCCATTGCACAGATGGAGAAACTGAGGCTCAGAGAGATGGAGTAACTGAACCCAAAACATACTACAAATAAAAATATTGCAGAGATAAGACTCTACCTGGATCTTCTGATTTCAGTCTCCCCGCTCCCTCCACTGTACCACACTGGGCTTTGTGCAGGGATATGGAATACTGATCACTTACCTGCACACTTTGAGCTTCAGTTTTCTTACCTACCCAAGGAGGTGGTTATAAGGACAAATACAACAAAATGTGGGGGAGTGCTTTAAAAGCTGTATATTACTTTATGTGCAAAAGTACAAAGCTCTAGACATTCTAAACAAAAACCAAAAAAAGTCTTTTTCTACCTTATCCAGAGAAAACAAATCAAATTAGCTCTCTGTGATAAGCATGACACCGAGTATAATTCTACCCATTTTCCACTTTCATCTCCTCAAGTTTGAAAAAAGTTTCAAACACAAATTAATAAATAAATTTGAAAAACAAAACTGTAGGATTAAAAAACTAAATTTCTTTAATAATTGGGATTGCTTTGATATGGGTCCTGTAATATACTCATATTTTAAATGGAAATGTTTACCAAAAGATGGCCAGCAGTTTTTGCAAAAGTAATTATGCACCAGAACAAGAGAAGAAGCTTAAGTTTTATCACAAATGGTTCTGACTTACGATGAAGACCCCAGAGCAGACTGTTGGGGGACACTGTATGTTCCCTCCAATTGCCTGTGTCCCCGAAGTTAGACCTCCATCACAACCCCATTTGTCTTGTGTCCGATGCCCACGGATGTTAATACATCACAGAAAGCACCATTTACAAAGAGGATGTGTGCCGCAAAAGAAGTGCTTGTGAAAAAAGAAAATTCCTGAAAGGATAAAATGACTCAAATTTATTTTCCAGATGCCCTGTCTTCATTTTTTTCTTTTGGGATTTGGGCAACTGGTTTGTCTATGGGTAGTTGTTTTGTTTGATGGTTTTGGCCGTAACAACCCCACAGAGCACTGGTTTTTAAATCACCAGTAAACCACGTGACCGGCTGCAGGTACGACTTCAGTTCAGACATCCTAAACTGACATGGCAGGAGAGACTGTCTGCTTATTTTGGAAATGCCTGTAACATGGCGACCTGCTTGTCTCCCACCTGCCTTTGAACACCGAAGTGAGGGCAGCGTGCTCACTCGCGAGAACATCTTTGGATGGGTATCGCTGCGGACCGAATTGCCAGGTCGGCTGCCTATGAGGTAGGCCATTCCTCCTGAGTGGTTATATTTGGCAGGGTCTCCCCAGACCTGGAAGAGCCTGCCTCTTCCCGCAACCCACCTAGAGGCACGACCGTTAGCCCACACAGGAGGCGTGCTCACGCACATCCACTGTTAGCCAGCTCCTCAGAAGCATGCCCAGCTCACCCCACCCAAACTCAGGAGCAGCTTCGTGCGCCCCAGAGAAGCGGTGCATGGTGTCTCAACCTGGGGAGTCCACCGAAGGGACCTGAATCAGGCTGCGTAGTTGGTGACGCCGTTCCCTAGGCAGTTACTCTGACTGACGGAGACTGGGGCAATTCACTGTTTGATACTGCAATACTGTGACCGTCCCTAGCCACTGCTCCATAAAGTTTGCCTCCAAACAAGGAGCTGGGTATCTAACCATCGATTAGAAGTCTGACCAGCTGGTGGCCTCTGGGTGGTCCCCTGGTTCCCACCCAGGATAAAGCACTTTCAATGCATTGCCTGGAGGAAAAAAAGCAAGTTTAACTCAAGCACACAATTAACTTGGTAACATATTACATGTAAATACACTCTTTTATTACAACAGTCTCTATTTTTAAAGCATAAACTTGTTTAATTTGGAGGAATAATAGTCACTTTCCCGAGCAAGTTTAGGAGACCAAGGTCCTTTTGGAACTGCACGCTAAAAAACCGAAAACTACCCCTGACAACAAAACTAAAATAATTGCACTGTCATCTCTCATGTTTTAACAAAGTCGGGAGCAATTATATGTAAAACTAAGCGATTGGTAAGTTTGTTGCTGGCGTGTGAAAGGGCCTCCTAGGAACCCCCTGCAACCTGTGTCAGGTGTCCCGCAACGCAATAAACCTCAGAAACTGCAAGCCAAACAGTGGGGGGTGGGGGGGGGGTTACTCTAAGTAAGGAGGGCCTGACTCTGCCCAAGTTTCCTACCCCATAGGGACTGAAGTCTTACTGTTTTATGAAAAAAAGAAAATCTTTGATGGGCAGGTTAAAAGTAAACCGACGGCCTTCAGTCTCTATTGGGAAAAACGACTCACAGTCCCTAGTTTTCAAGGAAAAGGCTTGAACGTTTCTTAGGAAAAGCGCATTGACAGCGGAAGGCGCTGCGTCCTGGAAGGGCTGCCGTGGGGCAGAAGCTGGGGGCTGCCCGTCCAGCCTGCCTGGCCCCGGGAGCCCCTACCTGCGTTCCTCAGCTTCTTGTTCCGATACACGGACAGGATGACCAGGAGGTTGCCCAGGATGTCCACCACGATGGTGAAGATGAGGATGAAGGCCAGCGTGGAGGCCAGCCACGAGGGTCGCGGCCGCGCGTCCCCACCACCGTCGGGCACCTGCTGAGAGGCGTTGAGGAGCGCGCTGCTATTGTCCTTCAAGGTCCCGCCCGGCGCGTCCCACGGCCTCCCGGCCATCGCGCGGGCAGGGCAGGCGACCCCCGAGTGCGGCGCGATCCCGCCGCGCCACCTGTACGGCTTCTCCCCGTCCTCGCGCGTCTACTCCCCATCCCAAGCGCTCCTTCGCAGCCGCCCTGCCCGCTCCACCGCCTCCTGCCGGCCGCACTGTGCACCTGCAGCCCCAGCCTGGTGACACCTGGCGTCCCGCCTGCGGGCTCCTAGGATGGCCCGGCTCTCCGCTGCATCCCGCACCACGTGCCGACAGCGCCCTCGTGCGGGTGGCCCGGGTCCAGCCGCTTGCGCAGTAAGTGGGCAGGGACTCCGGAGAAGCCTTGGTCGCGCTTTGGGTCGTCGCGTTTCCTCTCTGGGACATCTCTCCGGGCTGCGTGGGTGCGACCCCTTCCTCTGATTGAGGGGCCTTAGTCAGCCACCACATACCGCAGTGTCCTCATCGGTAAACTGGGGGTCAGGAAGGATCTAATTCATCTACTTGGTAGGTAGTAGGAGGTGAAAAAAAATCAAGGAATGTTTTGTGTCAGGTATGGCCCTACTTATCAATCAGAAATCATTCCCCAGCTCCCCATCCCCACTTCCACCCCACATACTGAACAGGCCAACTGTGATATCTTTAAATTATTTTAATTTTAAATTTTTTTGCCATCCATAATTTTGCTAATATTTCTGAACAGCTAGCTACCTGTGTTTTGAGATTTCTTGAATTCTGTCCTTCAAATTCAAGTGCTTGTCCTCAACTTGGGTACAGCCTCTGCTGGCTTCCCGGGGTGTCGGCATGGTCACGGGGGATGCTGCCAGCTGAACTGAGTGAACATGCCACCGGGGGCCCTGACTCAGAGCAACTGTAAACATTTCGGGTCGCTTTCAAATGTCACGGACTGCGCAGTTTCCAAGGAGCCGCAACCTTCCTTCCACAGCCAGGCGCAAGCAGTTCTCTCTCAGATTTCTTCCGAGCAGCACAGATCGGAGACACCTTCCGGTGCCAAATCCGCCGCCGGGCTCTCCCTGCAGACACCCAAGCCTATGCTTGTCACACATTCGCCCTATCGCTTTAAAAAATAACTCCACTTGTCCAGGAGACCGACAACCTCAAGAGTAAGTACCAGCCACCTGGGCCATGGGAGTCGGCCTGAAAAACAAGCCCAGGACTTCCCAGTAAAGCAGCCAGACTCTATCAGGACATCAGGGAATCAATAAATCCACCTGTATCCCCTGCATGACTGGGGCTTCCCCTTTCCCTTCTATATCCATGCCTTAGTAAGTCCTAGATTAAAGGCAATTCCCTTATTCATTAATGCACTAGTTCAGGTAATAATGGACATATTTGGCACTACGCTCAAAACACAGACCTCTCCCTGCAAATGGCAATGTGAACTGTGCATGTGTACAGGTGAGAAACAGAGGTGAAATGGAGAGTCTGCAAGGAATGAGAGCATGGGGGAAGGAATTAATGGATACAGTATCAGGAGAATGATAGCTTTTTTTAATTAATAAAGCTGTTTTAAGTTCACAGCAAAATTGAAGGGAAGTACAGATTTCCCTTAGGTCCTCTGTCCCCACTCGTGCCCAGCCTCCCTAGTACCTACAATCCACAGCACAGTGACACCTTTATTAGACTCTATTAACTACAGTGACACTTCATTAGCATCCAGAGTCACTAGGGTTCATTCCTGGTGTTGTACATTCTGGGGTTTGGACAATCGTATATGACATGTACCCATCATTATGGTGTCCTACAGAGCCCTGCACTGCCCCCCAAATCCTCTGGGCTCTGCTGATTCATCCCTCCCTCCCCTCAACCCCTGGCAACCACGGATCTTTTTCGCTGTCTCCGTAGTTTGGCCTTTTCCAGAATGTCACAGAGTTGGAATCCTATAGTATGCGGCCTCCTCAAATTGGCTTCTTCCATTTAGTGATGTGAATTTAAGTTTCTTCCAAGACTTTTCATGGCTTGATAGCTGATTTCTTTTTAGCACTGAATAAAATCCCAGGTCTGGACGTACCCCAGTTTATTTACCCACTCACCTCCGGAAGGGGCCTTTGTTGCTTTCAGCTCTGGGCAGCTATGAATAAAGCCGCTAGAAACATCCACGTGCAGGTTCTGGTGTGGATGTAAGTTTTCAACTCTCGGTGTAGGAACCAGAAGGATGATTGCTGGAGCTTAAGTAAGGTTCATTTAATTGTGTAAAAAAAATCACCGAAAAGTCTTCCGAAGTAGCTGCACCCTTCTGCACTCCCGCCAGCGACGAAGGGAAGTTCCCGACGCCCCACACCCTCACCGGCTGAAAGCCAACGATAAAACGTATAAAAAGAAAAATGAGATATTACCTCCTGGGGAACAATCAATCCAACTACCAGCTGATTTCTCGTCAGAAACTGTATTAGCTTTCTATTGCCGTCACAACAAATTAGCTTAATGAAATTCATTTAGAGCCTTAAAACAACACTCGTGTATTATCTCACGGTCACACAGTCCGGAAGCCCGGGTGGAGAGTGGCTGCGCTGGGCCCTCTCTCAGAGAGGACACCCCACGGCAGGCAGCGGGGCTCTGTGCCCTGCAGGAGGCTCTCGGGGTGGGTCTGCCTGTTCAAGCTCCATGTCGCTGTAGGACTACGTTCGTCCTTTTAATCTTAAAGCTGAATAGTCATAAGTATTTTCTAACTTACTAGAAACTCACTACTGTTTAAGTGCAAACTTAGAAGGGTTGAAGATCATGCTAACGTACAATGATCTAAAAGATATGTATATATACAATGAAATGCTATTGTTCAAATCTTTTGCTATCCTATAGATTCCTGTCTCTCGATTTTTATAGTAACTATGGCTTCATTGATACATTACTGATGTTCATTTAGAGAACGCATGCCCCAAAGTAAAAAATTAACAAAATATTAAGGTGTTACACAAGCCTTCTGGCATTCCTTTGAAACATTTCATTTCCCTGCTTATGATGTGGGGTAAAAGACTCACTGTGAAATGACACAGCGCCCTCTCCACCCCAGCTCCGCGATGGCAGGTCCCGCTGACCAGCAGACACTAAAACTCCTCCGAAATATGTGGCTTGCATCTCTAACCAGTTTTTTAAAAAAATTCCAATCAAGTATTGATCCATTGTTTACACTGTAGAATGCTAATCAATGTACACATTTATATGAAACACATAAGTTGCTTGTAGCAAATTTCCTGATGTTTCTTCCCGGGACTATGAGCAACCCTTAGGAAAGGCAGGAAGGGGTGCAAGTGGGGGGTTAGGCAACATTTGCAGGATCACACAAGGAGCCCCTTTAGTGTGTGTGTGTGTCTATGTGTGCATGTGTGTGCACATGCATGTGTATAGCTGCTTACACACGCACATGCCTGAGGTAAGTCTTGACACCTCCTCTTCTGCCTCCTGTAGGACATAGACCAGATCCTGCCGATTCGAACCTCTGCTTCCCCTCCCTCCCCACGGCACTGAGCCAGGCGGCGTCACCGCTGGCTGCCCCTACGGGAATTACTGTCACAGCCTCCTGAGTAGGCAGTCCCCAGGCCCCCCTTCAGCATAATCAGAAGTCCACGGTCCCTCCTCACCCATTTAACTATAACATGCCCTTGTTTTAAAAGCAAATGAACAAAAATGTCCACCTGGACCTGCAACCCTTCCATGGACGCGCAGTGCTCCTCTGCGTCAAGCCGAATTCCGCAAGTTTTCCGAGACCTCTCAAAACTCGGCCTTCCAGCCCTGACCTTCGTCAACTCTCATTCTCTCACCCGGCACCGGCTCCACCCTCCAACCCCGTGACCTTTCTCCAGTCCCTCCCACATCGTCTTTACCCTTTCGCTCCCAGCTCTCCCACAAGTTCCTTCTGCATCCGCTTCTCTGGAATCACTGGGACCTCGTCGTGAGCTCCGCCCTTGAGGCTCGGCCCAGCTCCTGGCTGCATCCCGACTCTGAGCACGTGCCGGGCCGCCCCTTTCTCTTTTCTTGCTGGAATCCCACCACCAGACGGGGAAGCTGCCCCAGTGTCTGGTATGCAGTGGACACCTACAAATATTTGTTGAATAAAATAAGAAAATAAAGGAATCCATCATTGTCTGGTGGCTTTGAGATAACATAATTTCTATGAAATTATGTCTTTTATCATATTTGGAAACTTGTAATTCATCAGGAAAAATGCTATTTGTCAGACTAATGGATTTTTAATGCATTTGTCACCCTCAAGTGATGAGACTTTTTTTGTCTTTATTTCTCCTGTCAAAAGCAAGAAGAAGGAACTATATTCTCACTCAAAGAATTTTTACGCTGTATTTTTAGGTTAGTATGAATTTTATCTCCTTGCAAGCTGTAAGATTATTGCATAACTGGAAAGTGTAAAACAATGCAATTCAAAAACTTAAGTTTTATTTAGGATGTATGTATTTTTACTAAATATACATGCATCCTCATTTTAAGAGCTAACAATATGATAAAAATAAATGATCGTTTACTATTCCTTAATGTTATTCACATGGTTTCATTTTATACCAGCCCCAGTAAAATATTGCTTACAGAAGAAAATAAATGATTTAAGGGACGTTAGGAATAGTTCGAGCTTCTTGTTCACACCCATGAAGACACCTGACAAAATAGTTTCATAATTAGCCTACTCTTGCGCTGTGGAAGCAGTTGTGAAACACACGTACCCCACGAATCTGCTGGAAGTCGGTGGGATCAAGGGAAGTGTAGGCGCTTACCCAAAAACAAACCCCCTGGGTTGGGCGTGGCAGGAAGTCCTGAGACTTCCCTCCTGATTCACAGCAGCCTCGCCTGCCGACTCCGCGGGGAGAGCTCCCTCCGACACGCACCATCCTCCATCCAGACACCGTGTGGGCCCATGGAAGGCCAAAATGCCTGTAAATTCAATGTCAAGTGCCCAAGCCTGTATTACCATACAATTTCTAGTAGCAAGGATGCAGTAAAAAGCTGCATACGACTGAAAAAAAAGTGAGGAAACTTCCCCCCACATTATAGGGATATGTAAGGA